CTCTGTAGTACTTCACATGACACCAATGTAGAATATTCTTTTTTTTTTATTTCTTTTTTAAGATTTTATTTATTTATTTGACAGAGAGAGTTCACAAGTGGGCAGAGAGAGAAAGGGAAGCAAGCTCCCTGCTGAGCAGAGAGCCCAATGCGGGGCTCAATCCTAGGATCCTGAGGTCGATCCTGACCTGAGCCAAAGGCAGAGGCTTAACCCACTGAGCCACCCAGGTGCCCTGCCAATGTAGAATATTCTAAAGCACCTGGTGCATGCCTAGTGAATTTGTGCATTGGTCCAGAATTGTGAATACCTCTGGTTTTTCCAGCAGTCCTTTACATAAAATTGTGAGGAATGATTTTATTTTGCCTTTTTTTCCCCAAAGATTTATTTATTTGAGAGAGAGAGCATGAGAAGGGGGAGGGTCAGAGGGAGAAGCAGACGCCCTGCTGAGCAGGGACCCTGATGAGGGATTTGATCCTAGGACTCTAGATCATGACTTGTGCTGAAAGCAGTTGCTTAACCAACTGAGCCATACAGATGACCCTCATGAGGAATTATTTTATTTTATTAAGGATTTTATTTATTTATTTGATATATATAGAGAGATCCCAAGTAGGCAGAGAGACAGGCGGTGGGGGTGAGGGGGAAGCAGGTGCCCTGCTGAGCAGAGAGCCCGATGTAGGGCTCGATGCCAGGACCCTGAGATTGTGACCTAGCCAAAGGCAGAGGTTTAACCCACTGAGCCACCCAGGCACCCCGTGAGGAATGATTTTAAAGGAATGTTTGAATGACAGGTGAGTTGTTTAAGAAAAAAATTTCAAAGTATCTTTAATATTCTACATGGACTCTGAGCTTGTTTTCAAAGAGCTGCCATGAAGAAGCTTTGTTAAAATTGAATAGCTCTAAAATGAATCCTTTCAGGGGTCCTGGCTGAGTAAATCAGTACTTAGGTGGTTTTTTATAGATATGTAATTTTGTAGAGTAAAAGGTACCTATCTTAATGCAGTTTGGTGAATTTCGACAAATGTATAGAAATGTACCTCATGTCCCAGTGAAGATTTAGAACATTTGCATCATCCTAAAAAAAAAATAACTTGGTGCCATTTTCTAGTTAATGTTAATGCCTCTGGCCACTATGTTCTCACACTAACCCATTTTGCTGGAGGCAGCCACTGTTCTGATTTCTTTTGCTAAGGGTTAGTTTGGCCTGCTTTTAAACTTCATATAAATGGACTCAGACAGTAAGTAACTATTTTGTGTAAGGCTTCCTTCATTCAAACATCAGGATAATGTTTTTGAACTTCATCAGGTTGCTGTCTGTAGCAACTTTTTTTTTTTTTTCAGATTTTTAAAAAGATTTTTTTATTTATTGTGAGAGAGAGCACAAGCAGGCAGAGTCGCAGGCAGAGGCAGAGAGAGAAAGCAGGCTCCCTGCTGGACGAGGAGCCCGATGCGGGACTCGATCCCAGGACCCTGGGATCATGACCTGAGCAGAAGGCAGCGGCTTAACCGACTGAGCCACCCAGGCGCCCCTGTAGCAGCTTTTTGTTACTGAGTAGTATTCCGTTGTATGAGTGTACCACAGTTTGTGTATATATTCTCCTGCTGATGGACAGCTGATCAAATTGTGCCTATTATTGATAAATCTCTGTGAACATTCTTGTACAAGTGTTTTTGTGAACATTCATTTTTATTTCTCTTGGAAAATACCAAAAGTGGAATTGCTGGTTTAACTTGATAAGAGACTAATAGTTTCCCAGAGTGATTGTATCATTTTATGGTCCTGGCAGCAATGCACAGAGAGTTCCAGTCGTTCTATATCTTTGCTGTCATTTCGTGTCATCAGTCGTTAATCCGAGCCATTCTAGTGGGGGTAAGGAGGTATTTTGTAGTTTAGATTTGCATTTTCCTGGTGAGTAACGATGCTGAGCATCTTTTCATGGGCATATCGGACATTCATATATCTTTGGTGACGTATCTATTCAATATTTTACTCATTTTTTGTTGTGTGGGTTTTTTGTTTGTGTTTACCTCTTCCTGAGTTGAGAAAGTTGTGGAAGTTCTTTATATTTCACAAGACTTTATCAGTTTCTTAGATTGGGTTCCACAGAAAATAGACTCTGAGAAGGAGATTTGCACATTGGAAGTTTATTGGTGAGTGCTCTTGGGAATAACACGTGGGAAAGAGTATGTAGGGTTAAGCAGATGGAGAAGTTGAACTGTAATTTGGTTACAATAGAGGCCTCGGCTCACCTGGCTCTTGAGAGATACCCGGAATTGAGGCAAGGGGACCTGGCTTTGTACCTCCTTCCATACAATGCAGGGGACTAGTCTTGGGATGTGGACTACCCTGTCAGAGGGAATGTAGCCTTAGGTTAGTCGGTACCCGTGGGCCCAAGGTCAGGTCCTCAGGGGGACTGAGCTGTGAGCCAGCAGTAGGCAACACTCCCAGCAGCTCGGGGAGCAGGTGTCTCCAGCCTGGAGGAGATGGATGTGGGCAGTGTCACCGCAGCATCCACAACAGGTAGATGTGTTGTGGGTATTTTCTTCCGCTATGTAGCCGGTCTGTTCATTTTCTTAGTGGATCAGCAAATGTTCTAAATTCTTTTTGTGTATGTCCTTGCTAAGAAATTTACAAACACTAAGATTGCAAAAATACTCTTCCTTCTAGAAGTTTTGTGTTCTAGATTTTGTATTAAAGTATAATGCATCAGGAATTAATTTATGCTTATGATGTGAGCTGCCACCTAAGCGATTGTTGAGGGCGCTCAGCTCTTTCTCTTTTAAATACATCCCTTTCATCACTTCTCATCTTCCCTTAATTTGCAAGGCAGGGGCATCTTTCATTTCCATTTTCCAGAGTAGAGCATAGTCATAGTCAAAACGTTGACAGGACAGCTTTCTTCCCAGCAATTTATTCATTAGTTTGAATTGTGGAGTTCTGAAACCAAGTCCCTACAGTGAAATGGTATGTTTAGTCCAGTTCAGTTTACCATTATTTTTGTCCTTCTTCAGGAGTAAAACTTTACATTTAAAACAAAGGTGACTTTTATGACTTCGTTAGAGAAAGTGATGAGAAGACTAAGTCATATACCATGTCCCCTTTTACACAGAACAGAGCTGCTTTTCCGTCTTGTGTTCTCCATGCTCTGACAGTTGGTCTCAAATGAATGCCGTGATTAACAGTGCTTTGATGAGTTTAGTAACTTGTAAAAGACAAAAGCTCTTAGAATAGCTCAGTATTAAATATTAAAATAGTAACACCAGTTGTTTGGTGTCATGCTTCAATCACTTGCAATCACTTTGTCCTGTTGCCTCCTATATAAGACGTGTAAAAAAAAAATATTTATTTAACAGAAGTAAAGCTAAAGTGCTCAATTATTAACCGTGAAGTCAGTTCTGCCTCCCAAGCCAGTGCCCCCAACCACTGGATGCATTCAGAATGCTCTGTTTACAAGTAGCTAATATTGGCCATCCTGAATGTAGGAAGGACCGACCTGACCTTTGTGCTAGGGAGCAGGGAATTCCTCTCTTGCTGTATGGCAAGTATGAGTTGGTGCTGACATTGCAGCTGTAGTTTCCCCATTTTCACTAGACACACAATGAGATACAGATTCCTTTCTTCTCCCAAATGAGGGGGTGGTAATGCTTCACCTAGCCTGTCAGCTAAGAAACCATTTTCCCATAGAGACAGCATATATGTATGTATGTGTATATTATATACTTATCCCCTAGCCTCAGAGTCACAAGTTCAGTAGTATGTCAGAGATAATACAGCCATTGTTTTTTTTGCTAACCTCTTAAAACTAAAACAGAAAAGTGAAGTATGTGATACTCCATTAGTTACGGAAACTTTTTCTTAAGGTACAAAATTTCCCCCTTTTATAAAAGTTTTTAGGATCATTTTTCATACCGCTAAGACTCCAGGAAGCCATACAGGGTACACCACTACTTCAAGAAACTTTGAAATGTAGTCTTTTATATCTCGTATGTCAGGAGGCAGTCTCTCAAAGAAATTTGGGTAGTAAGAAAAAAATTGAGATTAGCTCAGATCAAAACTATAAATCATTAATGGCATTGATTGTGATGATAGTTTCACAGATGTATACTTATTTCTGTACACATCAAGTTGTATACATTAAATATCTACAGCTTTTGGATTTCAGTCATACCTCAGTAAAGCAGTTTTTAAAAGACATCCATAAAACATTTTAGTACTGTATTAATTAGGCATATTTTTTATTGTATGAGTAATACATATTCATTGTCGTTCACTTACAAATATTTTTGTAAGTTGTGTATTACATATTATGTTTATATTTTATAAAGTCAAAACATTTGTTAATGTTTGATTTACACTTGTTTTACCTATGTGTGTACTTTTTATTACAAATATGAGATTATCAATGCATATTGTTTGCCACCAGCTTTTTCCTCATAGCAGTGCATCATGACTTTGTATATCTGTGAAGAGACCTGAATCATAATGTTTAATGGCTGGGTGATGTTGTACTGTGACGAAGTATTATAGTTTAGTCAATCAATCTCCTTTTTTGAAGATTTAGGATATTTTTAGGTTTGCACTCTTAGTACAGTGATCATCTTTGCATAGTTTTTTCTTAGGATAAATTTCTAGAAGTGAAATTGCTGGATGAAAGAATTCACATTTTTGAGGCTTTAAATTGAAATTGCCAAATAGCGGTTACCATACGTTGTAGTAATTGACTTTTTTCCCAGCCTCAGACAAATGTGCTTGTTTCTCCCATCATGGACGATAGACAAGTTTTCCCACATCATTGCCAATCTAGTAAATTTATAAGTGGCATCTCCCTGTTTTAATTGGCATTAATTCTTCATGAAGCTGACCCTGTTTCATGTTCACTAGACATTGTAGATTTTGGTCTCACAAATGAGCAGCTCACGGTCTTGATTACAGATCCTTCAGAAACTTTTTCTCATTCGATCATCAATCTTTTCAACAGTTTCTGGTATTTTCTTTCCAGGAGCGGCTAAAGCTGGTGACAGTTTTGGGAGCTGGCCTTCTCTGTGGAACTGCACTGGCAGTCATCGTGCCCGAAGGAGTACATGCACTTTATGAAGATATTCTTGCGGGTGAGAGACAAAGAACAGGGTCTTCTTTGAGATTTATTGTTGACATGGAGGACTGAAAAGAGAAGCCTCATGGGTTTTTTTTTTTTGCTGAACATAGTTCATATTTGCCATAGAATTCTGTCTTGGGAAAAGTTCTTAAAACATACTTTTGACGTCTTTGACATTGAACACATCCTTAGCAGTTTGTGAGTTGAATCCCCTGTTCATGAATGCCAGTTAAGATTCATTTGCTATAATGCATGAATTCCAGTCTTTCTAAGTATGACAATCTTTTTTAAAGCCCGCTTAAATTCTAAATGATAGTAATTGTATTTTTAATGTTCTTTAATTGAAAAAAGGAACAGGTGATAGACACTTGGATTTACGGAGTCTTTTCAGTAAACTTACAGGTAATTGGTGAGGATCTCTGCAGTAAGGGAGAACTAAAAAAGTGAAAGAAGTCTTTCCTGACCCTAAGAACAACAAGCAGAGAACGCACAGTATAGGTATGTGAGAGTAAATACTGGGCAGGCAGCTTGTGTCTCTCACCTGCCAGACAGTTTGGTCCTCACACCTGGAAACATGCTTGATTTAGATTTGTGACTCAGCAAAATCAGATTACTGCTTGTCACAAGACTTTAGGCACCTGTGAAAGATTGAAATCACAACTGTTACATTGGTGAGTGGAATCTTCAAGTGCCAGGACTCTACTGGACTTTAAGAGTAGTATAGAAAAGTAGTCACTTTCCAAACTTCATACTAGATACAATATAATAAGCAGCTTTTCAGATCTCGTCAAGGAAAAAACTGTCCTTTATCTAGAGTGATTATACTCTCCTCCCTGGGGTGTGCATATAGGCATAATGAATGGTGTTGGGTAGGCAGAGGGTGGTAGCCAATGTTTATGTATGAGGATTGTGGGGTCTTACTGCAAAATAGGAGAGAGGAATTTTTTTTTAAATTTTATTCATTTATTTGACAGACAGAGATCACAAGCAGGAAGAGAGAGGAGAAAGCAGGCTCCCTGCTGAGCAGAGGAGCCTGATGCGGGGCTCGATCCCAGGACTCTGGGATCATGACCTGAGCTGAAGGCAGAAGCTTTAACCCACTGAACCACCCAGACGCTCTGGTTTCTTCTCTTTTTTGATGACCCATCCTCTTGGGGGGGAAAGATAAGCATGTACTGTTGCACTGATTTACTGTATACATTATAAAACACAAACCTAAAATAGAAAATTTTGAAGTATGAGATTTAAAGTAAGTGTGTATAGAAGACCAGTACGGTTGACCCTTGAACAGCACAGGTTTGAACTATGTGGGTCCACTTATATGTGGCTTTTTTTTAATACGGTACCGTAAATGTGTTTCCCCTTCCTTAATCTTTTCTCTGGCTTACTTTATTGTAAGAATACAGTATATAATATGTAGAACATACAAAATATTTGTTAAAAGACTTTATGTTATCAGTAAGGCTTCTGATTAATGGTAGGCTATTCGTAGTTAAGTTTTGGAGGAGCCAAAAGTTATATGTGGGTTTTCAACTGCGCAGGGGGTCAGCACCCTAACCCCCATGTTTTTCAAGCATCATGCATATTTTCTTTCCTATCCCAGTGGTTCACCTTGAATTTTTCTGACATGTGATTTTTTTCAGAATGTCATATAAAAGAAACTGTGCATCCTTTTGGTCTGGCTTCTTTTGCTTAGCCTAATGCATTTGAGAGCTATCATGTTATTCTGTGTATCTATTGCTGGTGTGTGGTGCCTTTTTATTTCTGAGTAGTATTCCATTGTTTGGATGAACCATAGTTTGTTTTTTCCTTCACCTTTTCCTTTCCTTTTTCCTTCCTTCCTTTAAAGCCGTATTGGTTATTTTCAGTTTGGGTGGAAATATGAATAAAAACACTATAAACATTTATATACAGGTTTTTGTGTGAACCTGAGTTTTTTTTTTTTCCTTGTGTAATTACTTGCAAGTGGGGTGGTTGGATCATATGGCAAGTGTATGTTTAACTTAAGAAATAACCAAACTCTTTTTCAAAGCAGCTGTACCTTTTTGCATTCCCAGCAATAATGGGTGAGAGTTCAGTTGTTTCCCTTCCTTGTCAGCTCTTGACGCTGTTTATTTTGTTTTGGTTTTGTTTTGGTTTTTTTTAAGATTTTATTTAGTTATTTGATACAGAGAGGAATCACAAGCAGGCAGAGAGGCAGGCAGAGGGAGAGGGGGAAGCAGACTCCCTGCTGAGCAGAGAGCCCAATGTGGGGCTTGATCCCAGGACCCTGAGATCACAACCTGAGCCTAAGGCAGAGGCTTAACCCACTGAGCTACCCAAGCGCCCCTTGTTTCGGTTTTTTATTTTAACTGTTCTAATAGGTAGGTAATGCTATCCCTATGTGGTTTTAACTTGCAATTCCCTCATGGCTAATGATGTTAAACATCTTTTCATATGCTTATTTGCCATTATTATGTGTTCTTTGATGATTCAAATTTTTGCCTATTTTTTAAGTTGAGTTTTCTTATTATTGAGTTTTGAGGGTTCTTTACATGTTCTGGATACAAGTTATTGTTTTTTTATTTTTTGTTTTTAAGTAAGTTCTAGGCCCAACTAGAGATTGGGGCTCAAACTCATGACCCCAACATCAAGAGTTACTTACTCTACCAACTGAGCCAAACAGGGGCCCCCGGATACAAGTCTTTATTTATTTACTTTTTAATAGAAGGGAATTCTTTTTTTTTTTTTTTTAAAGATTGTATTTATCTATTTGATAGGCAAAGATCACAAGTAGGCAGAGAGGCAGGCAGAGGGGATGGCAGGGGAAGCATACTCCCTGTGGAGCAGAGAGCCCAATGTGGGGCTTGATCCCAGGACCCTGGGATCATGACCTGAGCCAAAGGCAGAGGCTTAACCCACTGAACCACCCAGGTGCCCCTGGATACAAGTCTTTTATCAGATAGATGATCTTCGAATATTTTCTCCTAGTCTTTGGCTTATCCTTTCAGTCTCTTAACATTGTCATTACAGAGTAGTTTTTAATTTTAATGAAGTCCATTTTGTCAGTTCTTTCATGAATTTCTAAAATCCCTTTGCTGAACCCAAGTTCACAAGTGTTTTCTCTTTTGTCCTCCTCTACAAGTTTTATAATTTTCAGTTTTACACTTATGCCTGTGATCCATTTTGAGTTAATTTTATATCTAATGTAAAGGTTCAGTTTTTTGGGGGATATGGATGGATGTCCAGTAGTTCCAACACCATTTGTTGAAGATAATAATTACCTTTGCACCTTTGTAAAAATCAATTGACCACATTTGTGTTGGTCTATTTCTAGACTCTCTATTTTGTCCAGTTGATCTACATTTCCATGTCTGTCCTTTACTAATATAACCTTTTTTATTTTTCCTAAGATTTTATTTATTTGAGAGAATGAGTGAGCAAGAGCATGAGCAGGAACAAAGGGAGAAGGAGAAGCAGACTCCCCACTGAGCAGAGAGCCTGGCAAAGGGCTCAATTCCGAGACCCTGGGATCATGACCTAAGCTAAAAGCAGATGCTTAACTGACTGAGCCACCCAGGTGCCCCCAATACAACCTTGTCATGATGACTATATCTTTACAGCAAATCTTGACATCAGATGGTGAAGTCCTTCTAAGTTTATTCTAATTTTTCAAAAGTGTCTTGGTTAAACTAGTTCCTTTGCTTTTCTATAAAAACTTTAGAATCAGATTGTCAACATCTGCACAAAAAATCATGCTGAGACTCCGATTGAGTTGAATCTATAGATTAATTTGGGGAGAATTGACATCTTAAAAACGTTGTATTTTCTAATCTATGAGTATTACGTATCTCCCATTTTTTCCGGTCTTTGATTTCTTTTATCAGTGTGGTAGTTTTTAAATTTTTTTAATTTAATTAAATTAATTAATTAATTTATTTATTTTTAAGATTTTGTTTACTTGACAGAGAGAGAGGGAGCAAGTGAAGAGGAGCGGGAGAGGGAGAGAGAGAAGCAGGCTCCCCACTGAGCAGGGAGCCCGATGTGGGGCTCGATCCCAGAACCCTGAGATTATGACCTGAGCCGAAGGCAGAGGTTTAACCCACTGAGCCACCCAGGTGCCCCTATTTTTAAATTTAATTTAATTTAATTTAATTTAATTAATTACTTTTTTTTTTTTTTTTTTTGAGTAACCTCCATGCCCATCATGGGGCTCGAACTCAGGCCCAAGAGCAAGAAGACTCAAATGTTCCACCGACTGAGCCAGCTAGGTGCCGCCAGTGTTGTAGTTTTTAGCGTACAGATCTGCAGTTATTCTGTCAGATTTATACCTAAATATTTTCCTGTTTATAGTGTGATTGTAAATGATACTTAAAAAGTATTTCAATTTCCAGTATTCTAGGATATAGAAATTTGCTAAACTCACTTGTTACAGGAGCTTTTCTGTGGATTCCTTGTGAATTGGTGCACAATCATATCATCTATGAATATAGACAGTTTAATGCTTTCCTTTCCAGAGACACTTTAATGATTTTTTTTTCCAATATGCTTAAGTTTTTTTTTTCTTTTCCGTATTGCTCTGGCTAGACCATTTAGTATGAGGTTGATTAGGAATGAAAGTAGTCAGCCCTGCCTTATTCTCACTCAGTCTTTCACCATTAAGTATAATGATAGCTGTAGATTTTTCAAAGATTCCCTCTTTAGGTTTAGGAAGTTTCCTTTTATTATTCCTAGTTTGTTGAGAGTTTTTATCGAGTTTGTTAATGTGATGAAGTACGATGATATTCAAATATGCATATGCCACCCCCCTTATCGGCAGTGATTATCATGACTGGATTCCATGTGCTAAGATCCTGTCTACTTGTGATCTCTGTCAAAAAAAAAAAGAAAGATCCTGTTGAGGATAGTTGTATCTCTGTTCGTCAGGAGTATTGGTCTGAGGTTTTCTCTTCTTACAATGTCTCTTTATGGTTTTGCTATCAGAGTGCTGGCTTCTTAGGGATGGAAAGTGTTCCCTTCTCTATATTCTGGAAG